AACGTTTGAGAATGTATCAAGTCCACTGTCAGATGCTGGGAATCATGACAACTACTATGGCAGACCACTTTGGACTAGGTGCGTTCTACATAGTCTCCCTGACTACAAGACCAAGTTGCGACAACGAGGTCAACCCACTTGCTAAAATAAATGAAGTTGATCGACAAATCAAATATTGCCTAAACGATCACTTCACTAATAAAATTATGGTCTTACGATTGACCGTAGAATTTGGATAGCGAAAAGATTCAGCTCGATTATGTAGTCATTTTCAAGTTGAAATCAAGAGACTATTGGTGGCGATATCTTTTTCATTGAAGTTTGTCAGGTTCACAAATAGCCGGTTTCCATTTATGCATGTGATATCAATATCCAGGCGGTATGAGAGGGCTCTGCGTGAGTTAAGAAGATCTTGAAAATCGAGATGACGAGATGGAATTAAAACATTGAAACCTACTAACGTGCCGCCGTCAATCCACATGCGCTAAGATGTGAATACAGGCAAGATTATAAACAACCATACGAGCACAATAAGTCAAAAACAGATAAAGAGATAAGCAAATGTACTAAACATGTATAGTCAACATATTCAAGATGAACAAATACCCTGACTGCGGCTCTCCGATCCGCAAAGTGCTGTCGTCCGCCCTACAGGCCACGAGCTCGCCCAAACTACCAGGTAGCAATGGCACAAGCCAGGCTGTACATGCTAAACAGAGATAAGCCTGCACGTAGAAGAGAGAGATGCGTGGAAGACTGATATTGGCAGCTAGTGATCCGGACCAGTTAGCTACAGCAGATGTGGGGCTATACGAGCAAGTTGGTAAAGCAGGAATCGAATGCTCGGCTCTGGTGCAGGATGAGAAGTCACCATTTGATCGAGATGGGGTCAAAGGTCTTGTGGCCGGGGTAGATAAGTTTGGGTATTGCAGTTTTGACTGATTCAAATTATCGAGCTCCTGGAGCGATTGAGGATGGTCGACATCTAGTCGGCAGAATGGCTGCGACCCAGTTGGGTCGGAACATGGGATGCGGAGACATTGGGGAGAGGTACATTCACGTTGATACAACTTGAAGGCAATCTGAAGATAGATAAGCAATGAGAGTCTGGATAATGCAAAGAGATGTTATTAGGAAAATGGAATATCAAGGTGATGACAAAGGAGAAGAAAACACTTTTCATTGGCCAACCAACGCAACACGAGAAGACTGATAAAATTGAATGTTCGGGAGTTTATCGCATCAAATGCGGTAACTGTGAGCAGAAGTACATCGGTGAAACAGGACG